AATGAAGAAATGCAAGAACGTGTGTTATGTGAATGTTTTCTTACTCTTCAATTATAATAATTATTAATAGAAAAACAAATAAAATTATCTCACATAGATACGTGTATTAACTAAATTTTTTTCTCAAGTCATTTCCGATATCAACATACTTGAAATTATTTTCTCGATAAGAAAATATTAATATTATTTATGAACCGAAGATACGGGATCTTTAATGTTCTTCGCTAACTTCAAGAAGCTTCAATAAATAAACTAAGCGAGAAAATTAGCACGAACGATTCACTGTTACACTCACTTGCAACTTTTATATCTCTTGCGTGTTAGTACACATTAAATCCAAATAACACACCCGAGAGAATGCTTCAAGATCTTTATGAGAACAGTAATTACAATCGATCAGATTTATAGTAAGAATCAAGTGACATGTTTTACTCTTGATCTGATTACAGTATTACCTTTTATTAAGCATCAGGTATCTCGAGCAAAGAAATTATTCGCATAATGGCAACAAATTATCTATAAAAACCAATAACAAGAATTTTGTTTTTGAATAAATTGGAAGCACAACATTTACTTTGACAAGATTTTTATAAGGTTAACGACTAAAATAATTATTTTCTGCTGTTTGTCAAGAGATAATTTTATTTATTAATTTCCAATTATTTATAATCGATATATAAATGAATATATAATTTTCTACTTCATTAAAATGCAAATAATACACGATTTTACTTGGAGAGAAGTAACATTTGTGGTTTTAAACGACGAATTTCATAGCACACGTCGGAATGATCGTGGTTTCAAGAATGACATGAACCAGTCTATTGATCCACGATACTCCTGATGCTGTTTGCTGCACCTTGCGGTTGCTGATATATTTTTTTTTCTTTCCTCCTGTGAATAATTCTCTGGTAATACAACTCCAGCAAACGATTTCACGTGTCAGATTACACTTTTACTTTCAGATATTTATTTTTGAATTATTTCTCATTATTAATCACTAATCATTAATTATTAATTACCAATCATTACCAATAATTATCCGTTTATTCATTCATTAATCTCATCATTAATAAATACACGCCACTAATAATATTGTCTAGTAATTTATTGCTTATAACCTTTAATACGATTGTAAATGTTTTTAGAGATAAAATAAAAAAAATAATTGTATATCGCTGATATCTAGATTGCACTAGATGTCTACTTCTTGCCAGATTAATTTTTCCAGGTGTCAGCGTTAAAATGTTTAAGATTCACGCAACGTAATCGATTTTTTTTTTCTACTTTGACATAAATACGATCTAGATTAAAATATTTTATTTATTTAATTTTTCATTTTTTTTTTTAAACCAGAGTATTAAATGATTTCCAAAGAAAATGAAATGAGCACGAGCTTCTGCTATAAATCTGTTTTGGTTTTAAATGCATTTAATCTTAATCAATGAGGTAATTGAATCTAAATTTGAGAGTTGGCGTAGTTCCCTTAGGGTCTCCCGGAAGAGCTATAATTAGTCATTACTATCTTTACACGAAGATTTTCGTGAAAGTTATATCTTGTGTAAGCATAGCTAACACTTGTAATCCTATATAAAATCCTCTAATTTATGGTTTATATGTCTAACTGTTTTTTTTTTTATTATGTCTGGAAAATATTCAAGTCATTTAATGACATACACATCAGCCAATTTTACGTATATAAATATTATTTACTCATGATGATTACACGTGAATGCATTCCAGTGTACACTTGGATGATGGGATGGTGCACACGTTCACTTTAAACCAAGTGTATGCTCGCAACGTTATTTCGGATTAGACAAACCGGTAGTGACGGAGGGTAATCTAGTACATGAAGATTAAAAGACGTACCTCTACCTGCGAGTAATTTACAATTATATCATGATCAGGATGAAAATATCAGATTCAATTAATATGTACATATGGATATAAATTTTTGGGTTTTTTAAGTCTTACATTGGAGGTTGTTGGACAAGATTTAAAAGTTTCTGGATACAATGAGGCGTGTGTAAAACAGCCGGAAGCCCTTCGAAAAAACTCCTGCTATCAAGCAACGTATAAAGCATGCAAGAGAATGCAGATAAGATAATCGATTCGAGATTGGAATCTCGCATGTGTGTCGGGGGCAATTTTTTCTCCTGCTTCCAACGCTCAACGGTACCCATGAAATTCACCTGTAGAAAATCGAACCTCCCAAAAACCTTGAATTTTTAACAAAAGGTTAAGTGGAGCCATTTCTTTTTCATTTAAGAATCATCTAAATCACTGCTTTGTAGCTAAATATATCTTTTTTTATTTTCAAATGAAAAAATTTTTTTCAACTCTCAGATAAAAAAAAAATTGTTTTGTCACACTAGAGTTAAAAGTATATTTTTTAATGCATATTTATAAGTTGTAAAATGGTAAAAATTTTCACTTTTACACACAGTATTTACTTTTCTGTATACTTTTGAAGTTTTCGCATATATAGCAAACAATTAATATCAGTTATTATGCATTTAAACCGCATAAAAGCCGAGTGTTGTTGAAATGAATGAAGTTAAGATGGGCGGAGTTGAAGCTGGTAAAATTGCAGTGGATGAAGTTGAAGCAGGTCACGAAGTATTCAATATTAATTCTGCTGTTGTTTCATAATTATTTCATTTTTATTATTCATAAAGGTTTTCATGATTTACTAATTGTTAATAAACTATTCTGCTCATTTTTAAATACTTGCAAATTTAAGAGCATAATTTAAAAAGAAACTTTTTATTGTTAAATAAATTATTTATTATTATATTTTATTTAACGAATTGTAATTTATCATGTATGATTAAAGAAACAATTAGGTTGAGGAAAAATTGCAAAAAAAATAAACAAATGATTGACAGGAAGGAAGTTAACGCAAGCACAGTTATAAGGATGATATCCGAGAGATACGGAAGTTCAAAGGTGCCGCATGATCCGCCTTCGCGGCATGTATGATCAAGCGACTCGATTTTCTACCACGCGTAAGCTTTGTCAGGAGAGAGTTAGGAGCAAATCTCTTGAATCACATAAGAACGAGCAGAGAGTGCGATTTTATTTCAGCCTCTCTCTTATTTTTCATCTCTCTAGTTCTTCGTCTTTTCTTCGTCCTTTCGTGACTCTTCCATGCACGATCGCGACTCGTTTGAGTCTCTCCCATTGCTCTTTTCCTTGTGCAAACATGCTTCTCGATTTTACGATATTTATGCAAACACTCACGATGATTAGCACAAGTATGTGGATTAAATGCAAGAACGTTACCTACAACATAATAATCACCGGGCAATAATTTTTTTTTCACCATTAAAATAATGGTATTTAATAACATTTATCCATTTTATATTAATTTACAACTTTTTTTACTCAATTTTTCATTTGTAATTAATTTTTTTTTTTTATTCCACTCCCAAGTTCGTTTACTGAAGCCTGATATGATTAAACATTAATTTGACTGAGTAATTAAATATTCCACTATATAATTATTGATAGTTTGAAGGAAGAAGAGTAAATTATGTGTCAATGTCTTTTTAGTATGCCGAAGCAATTAGATATTCACATTCTATTTATTTTCTTATAGACAATTAATTTCTCGGAACTCTTTTATTAATTACCAGATGTAATTACTTCAGTAATTTAAGATTGTTACGAGATTCTTAATTTTTGTTTCATTGACTCTCGAGGTCATTGAAATATGCCATCAGGTGTAACCGTCATTTTCTCGCCTAAGGAAAAATTCCATCTTGAAGACTAGTAACCTCCGGCTACTGCGTGACTGCTTGTATCTTAGTAGTAATTACACAATTAGTAAGAAACCAAGTGTCTTTCATATGTCGAATCACTTGTATTCTCAACCAGTTAATTGAAATTCTGTCACTTTAATAAAATTCTTTAGTTACAATTGCACTCTACACTTGTGATTTATTGGATCTTTAATGATTATATATTACTTTTGAATACATTATAAATCATTCTTATTCAAATAAAACAATTTTATTGCAAGTTAAGTGTTATTATAATAAAGAGAAACATTTTTGTTCATTGAGTTCTTTTTTTCTTGATGGTGGAAAAAGAATCTTTTTGATACATTTTAACTACTAAGAAACAGCTCAAAAAGATCTACCCACGTAGAGACCTCCTTGGTGCAAATTTTCCACGCACGATTAGCAATCTTCTCGCTCAGGCACGCGCATTCACGGCCCCTGTGAGTACAGGCCACTCATTGTTGCAGATCAAAGCTGAGAGAAGACTCAACTTCAAACTGTACAATTGATCTTCAAATATGTATGTATATATATTTCTTTATCCAATATATTTATGCACAATACACTCACCTTTCAGCAACCTATTTTTCATCTTTTCTCTGCTTTCAAGTTTTTCATGGGAGGTTTTTTATTTTTTTTTTTAAATTGCTTTCAAGAAAATGATTAGTTTGACTCGTTTTTGATAAAAATGTTATTAGAAAAGAACTTGTTATCGCACGTTTCGTGGTTGTAAAATTAAAAATAGATCACGATATATGTTTTAGATTTCTTTAACCACACGTTTCTGATAATCAGCAGAAATATATAAAGTATCATAGAACACCATAGATACGGAAGTATTTTTAGATAACATATGGAAAAAGTATATAAATGAAATGAAAATGAGGAAGAATGACAAATTGTTTGAAAATAAAATTTATTTTTGTAAGTCAATGAGTCACATAAAAGAAAATAAAGTTTTTCCTATTTTTTAAAAAAAAATAGTTTCCGGGAAATTGTCATGAATCGTCTTAACATCGAAGATAAATAGAATCAACAGATGATAAAAATGCAAGTGAAAAGCCTTTTTGTTTGAGAAAAAAGAGAAGAATTTTAATGTCAGAGTAAACCGATGTTTCAAAGTATATCAAGATAAATCATTTAATCCCATAATCCGCACGTAAAACAAACAATTTTTCTTCATAAAATCTTGTTCTCCACAACAAAACTCACCGTTCATTAATCCTTTCCATTTTTTCGCTGGCTCCTGATACCTGTTAACAGGAAGCACAATCTTTGGGGGCGGTGGACAGGGTTTATACACAACCATACATCGTACACACTTCCTTCTAGTGGGCGTCGAAATCGCTGGTTTAATGTGAACGTAGGCCATCGGCTGTTGTTTTACTGTCAACCGCGAAGTCGTGTAACCCACGTACTTGGAGTACCTTTTAGACCGACCGTCTTCATCCCAAGGGCTCACTTTACTCCTTGCTTTACTCTCAGACCATTTATTCGACTTGTAAAATGACTCGCTGTGGTTTTCCTTCCCGGTAGAAATGTAATGACTCGGGTTATGTGAGCCTTGAGGTGAAGAAAGGATATTTGGCTTTGGATGAGACTCAAGTCTAGCATGATGATGATGATGATGATGGCGATGATGATGGTGATGATAATGACGATGCCCATAGCTAGATGATGATCCTAAAGAGTTTAGAAGGATCACTATTCCGAGGGCTAAAATGCCCCGGATTCTAAGTGTCCGACTTCCAAATAACATTGCTACCCCATAGTCAAATTAACAATCATCTCTTTGAGCGCGATAACGTCTTCATCATCTTCTTAACTGATTTTTCACTTCTTTTAATGAAACAGTTGCACCACACACCCCATTCCTTCAGTAAATCACTTTATCCGAGCATATTTCACTGATCGATGATATATTCTGAAGCCTTCAATCGGGATTACTTTTGGAGGATTAGTTAAAAGGGGAAGAGGTTGTTGAAGGTACCTCTTTGGAGCACAGCTCGCGAGACACTGGCACGCTACCATTACCATTAGCTTCGGCTTTGCCCTCCTTCCATCTCCTTCTTCTTCTTCCGTCGTTCCCTCTCGTCGCGATTGTGGCGTTCGTATATATTCCAGCTGGTTCCGCTCAGAATCCGAATCATTTTCTTTCTTTGTTTTTAGATTTTTCCTCTTACTTCTTATCATTCTCTTACACCTGGACTGTGTTTACCTTGGCACGTGGGTGTACTAACTCGCAGGAAATAATCCACTGCTTTCTCAATAGCTACTCAAATGCTAACATTTTATATAGACATTCGACTTGTCGTGAATTTTGATTGATCGGTTTTACGATTTATGAAACGTGACATTTTATAAAATATTCTCCATTCATTATTCAGCATTTTTTCAAGTCATTTACTCATTGATAATTTTAATCAAAGGAGACAAAATTATTAGAAGTTTATTAATGTTATAAATTATAGAGTAAAAATGATAAATGCTGTCTAGATGATAATTGCTGCATTATTTGCTTAATGGGTTTGTTTATGTAATGGATTTGATTTTTTATTTGATTAATTATTCAACTGATCAATTTATTGCAACTCAGAAAAGATAGTGTGTGAACGATGAATTTGTTTATCCCGTGCTAATTGCACTTGCAAGCACTCTTCTAGATCCTGGAATCCATTTCCGGCAGACACACGCAGCCTCGGCAAATCTCAAGACACTAATTTATGCTGCCAGTAAGCGTCGTCGCAAGCTATAGCGATGGTGTTTTATTTGTAAAACATAAAAGTATTTCGCGTGTAGTCACGTATGTTGTCAACAGCTTTCTCATTACATGGATCCAACAAGTCTTCATCATGGATGAAATTTTTCTCAGCCAAAAATGTGGCTTTTAAAAATTGATGTAATAATCATTGAAATTTGGCATGTCAGTCAATATTAAGAGGATAAAGATTAAAGCGTTCCGACAGACATTAAAAGAAAGTAAATAATGATCACTCAGCGGGTAAACTCAAGAGACAATATTTTCTCTACAAGAAAATAAACGTCATATATTCTATATGATGACTTTGCGACAGGCGCCAGGCTGAAGCAAGATAATACATCCATTTGGCACGCGTCTGCAACATTACGATATCGAGTTCTACATCGATAAGATTATGAGAATTTTTTTTTGTTCAGTCTATTGTTTTTCTTCAAGTACAAAACTATCAATGTTATCATTTTTATTTTATTGACTATTGAAATTTTTATTGATATATCTATTCAATACTATAAATTATGCAATTTTACAAAATACTTATCTTCAGTTTCATTGAATTTATAAAGTGTAAACTCATTTATTATCAAAAAAAATAATCAAATCCATTGTTTACGTTATAGTTGAATGAAAAGATGAATAAAAATTATAAAAGTGCAGACAAATCAATTGTCTACCATTTTTAAATGATTATTAATTTAATTTTTATGCTCTATATTCAATATTTTTTTTTTGTTCAATTCTTTTATTCATACTATAATTTCATTGAAAGTCCATTGCATAATCATGAACGAAAAATTTTAACTAAGTTCATGTTTTTAATTTCTTGATTCTTTCTGCATGATAAGTATTTCTGCTGCGTAAGTTTCCGCATTTCATACTGTGCTAAAAAAGTTCTCTGATTGCAAAAAATGTTTTTTCTTTTTTTTTCAAATGTAGCTTAGTAATTTAAAGATAAAATTGAGCTGTCACGTTAATTTGTCACATTAGTAATAGTGCTGCAGAGTATGCTGAAAATTTGAGCCAAGTAATTTCATTAATTACTGTCATCATTATTAAAAAATTGTTCACTCCATTGTCGGTTGGCAATGTGAGTAACGGTATTGTGAGATTTTTTAGTGAACAGATAGTCCATAATTGTAATTATCACTTTCAATATACTGTTATATTGTTACTGTATTAATGGTAAAGATTTTGGTCATTGATTCTCATTTAACATTTTTTAGATCAATGTATATTAATATACCTTTTATCATGACTTGCTGTTTCCTTTCAGAATTCAATTGGTATGTATACATATTGATTGGCTCGATCAACGATTTGAGTATTTTTTGAATCTACTGTAGAGTTGAGAGTGTATATAATAGACTTAGACTTTAGTGATAGATATCTGTCAGTCAAAAGGCTTGACTCGTACTTAAAGAATTATGAATCAACTTTACAATCTATAGAACAAGGATATTAATGTTATCAGTTCCATTTATATGTCCTTGAATAAACATAAAAATATCTCTGAGAGAATATCTAAATCAATAACCGTTAACATTCACTATAAATAATTTTTAACTTGTTTTACATACAACTTTGATAAGGTTCCAACCAAATTTCAATCTTTTGATGTAAAACTACTTCTCTCATGTAAAGCGTTAGTTTCATTTAAATCATTCTCTCCTATCGCATGGAGATAGAAATTAAATCAATACAATTAAGAAAAAGGGAAATTTAAATGTGAAAAAAGAATGGTAAAATGCTGAAAAAAATAATAAAGCAATTTTGATAGAAAAAAAATGAAATCAAATAAATGTCAATAAAGAACTCGATTTTATTACTCCAAAAAAAATATTTATTCTATATAAGAGAGAAGGTATTATTATTTAAAATACCCTGTCAAAATATTTTCGATAGGGTTTTTTTATGATTTGTATTATTTAGGCTTCCAAATTTATTGATTTTATTCGAGGAATCGCTGGCTTCTATTTTTTCAATTTCAATTAAAAGGGTTCGAATGAATCAGAGGTTGTGGATGGTATAGAGAGAGTTGATTGTGCTCTTCTTGATACCTGTATTTAATGTTAGGTCGGCGAATCATCAAAAGTCGAACCTAAAAACCAGGTGATACTTTCATGTGGACCTCATATGCAGAAAGATTCGTGAAGATGTGCATTTATCTGCTGATCTCTGAGTACTCTTTCTTTTTCTTCATTCTTTCCCTTCATAATAATTTTTCAAAAACTCATGTTTACACGCAACGTCATTATCGCCGCTGAAAGATTAGACTTCTTCGTGTAGTTATTCTGTTGCGAACCACCTGTTTCCTGTCTTTTCGACAACTTGAAAGCTTTAATCAACATTTTAACTTGATAATTTTTTATATTTTAATTTTATTATTAATCGTTCAATTTATCAAATCTTGCCATAGCTATGTTATTTTCATGTCATCGATATTATGAACATTATTTCTGGCTGATAACAAGCCTTAATTATGTGATTTTTAGGGATACCTACATGATATAAAAACTTGGGATTAATATACAACTTATCTATAATACAAACATTAGTAAAATACCAAAAAAAACTAATTAAATCATAAAAGTTGATGAAAATCTCCGTTTTCAAATTGGTGAAGTTTAATTAAGACCCGAGTAAAAATGATCAGTTTTTGGACGTACCCGAAGGAGACCCAATTCAAGTCTAAAATTATTTTCCAGGCCCACAACGCACCAAAATCAAGCCCAAAAATATTTTGAAAACTTAGAAAAGAAAGAAAAATTGTCATAAAAACTTATCATCAAATTAACTTGCGTGCTACTAATTTACATTTGTAATAATTTATTGTCATTATTGTCGAACATGATCTTGGAAAATGGACTTGAATTGGGAGCATTATGGGTTTCGAAAATATTTTTGGACTTAAATTGGGCTCCTTCGATATTTAGGCCTGTAATGGGCTTGTTTTGGGCACTGAAAATTTCTCTAAGCCAAGATTAGGCTTCAATCGGGTCTGTATTGGGCTTATTTTTCATTTTGGGCGTGTTTTGGGCTTCTTTTGGGTCTATTTATTTTTACTTTAGGTGATAAATAAATTGAACTATCATATTATTGATGAAACTTTTCGAATAAGTTTTTGACTTCAACATCTGAACCCATTGTTTTTTTTATTTTCAATATTAAAGCTGAGTAAAACCGAACTTATGCACAAATATTTTTTTAATCACTGCAAACCCAAATGTTTAGAAACTAAACACATAAAGTGTTTGAAATGTTAAAAATCATAAACGAACTATGGGCAATTTTGTAATCGACTTTAAAACGCTTTTTGTCGTTTACCAAAGTGCTATAGTTTATTTATGGTGTTCAACATTGTAGACACTTAGGTGTTTAATTATCAAACACTTTAAGTGATTTATCGCTAAACACTTGAATTTTTCTGGATTTGCAATGATGTCATTAATAATTATCAATTTTTATTAAGATCGGTTTTGCATAGAAAATTATTCTTTCAACATTTAGTTAGATAAATTATATTTAGAGAACGAGTTTACGAAATGTTTTGAAAGTTGACTAAAAATTATGTGAATAGTAAATTTAAAAAAGTATTCGAACATTTGAATGAAATAATTAAAATATGAATGTTACCAGATAAAATTCAGTTTTTAATTGAAAATAATTCACTCAGATGAATGATTTCAAAATGTTCATTTTATTAAGATGGTATTACTTATTTATGGCTCATTGTTATTTATTTGTTATAGTTAAAATATAATTTACAGAAAGTAAAATAAAATAATGTAACGAAATGATTTATCCAAATTATTCTACTCTTCATGCTATTATATATGAATTAAAGTGATTGGATACCCTAAAATTCCAGACATTTTAATTGAATTATATTTTGAATCAAAAGTGCCTGGTGTACATCAGACAGTGATGTGCACTTGACAAGCACTTAAAAGACAACGATAGAGATAGGGATGAGGATAATATAAAAAAGTGTCAACGTGACTCCACAAATTTCACACGCATTATAAAAAGCAGTCTTATATTTAACCTGATATCATCAAAGAATCCTTTGTTATCTTCTTTTTAAAAATTCAGTTGAACATTCTTTAAGTTCTCTTAAATTTGAAAGCGAAAGAGAACTATTCACCAAAGTTACCCGAAATGGACTCACAAAACCATAAATAAACCATAAATAAAAAAATTTGAATCATAAAAATGTCATACTGAATGAATAAAATAAAATCATTTAA